CTAGATTCATACTTCGTACATTCCATGTTCCAATGATTAATGGATGTCTGCAGCTGTTTCTCTTCAATTTGAGTGGTGCCACATCAGCAAATGGAGGTCTTGAAAGTTTTACCTTATCCATAGGAGTAAGGCTGGGTTTACTCTGATGATGCAGCTCTTTCCCAGTCCCATTTTGAGAGGCTTCTAACCTAACTGGACTATTCATAAAGTTGCACAGTAATGTATCAAACAGTGTTTCTTTGCTATTCATCAGGTTTTCCCTGGCCAATTCTTTGAGAAGTGGACAGCCTCCTCCTCCTTCCTAGTCTGTCTCAATTTGTAAGCTGGGCTGATACCTGTGCACCGTGTGCATCCCGCTGGGTTTGAAACACCAGTGGCTCAGCCTCAAATCTCACATCAATACGTCACCACGGTAGGACAAACCGACAGACAAGTTTGATCAACCACACAGCCTTGCACATAGCCATCTTTATTCACCAGCCGATAATGTTGCCTGCCAATCTTGGGACTATTTCTGGACTTGAACTAGGGGCCACTGTGTTGCTTAATACTCTTGGGACTGTGCCATTTTATTTGTCGACTTTGGGTTTGTCAGCCTCAGCAGCCAGCAGCTGCCTGAGTTAAGAGCAACCTCCAGTCTCTGTGGGCCAGAAGCAGGAGGCAGAACTGAAGCCCAAGGTTGAGGAGCCTTCACCCAGCCCCTAGAGCTGGCACTTTGACCTCGGACTTCTAGCCTCCAAAACTGTAAGAGAATAAAATCCCTGTTTGTTAAACCCATCCACTTGTAGTATTTTCTGTTAGACCAGCACTAGATAATCTAAACATCTATGGACCTCGATCTCTTTATCTGTGAAATTCAAGGGTTGGACTGGCAGATGTCCAAGGGCCTGTCAGCTCTGAGAGTCCTTGGGGGAAGTTCCCACCATGACAGCTGCCCAGAAAAAGTGAGTTAGTACCATTTACTGGCTGGTACTCCAGTATGGACCCCAGAAAGAAGAGTAGATAGGGGAATGCAAAGTAGTCACCCAAGCCCCAAAGAGGGAAGCCATCCTCAGCTCCTCTCTCCTTTACTTTCACAGCCAAGTACCAAGCTCTGTTCATCCAATCAACAAACATTCATTAAGGGCTTACTACTTACCAGGCACTGTTCTAACCACTGATGATAAAGTTGTAAACACAACGCCAATTTACTATCCTCATAGCACCTTCGTTCTCATCAGTTTGCTCTCCTTAGTGTTCGTCTTCTCTTCCCCTCTTCCTCTCCAGCGGTCTGGCCCAAGCCACATTCTTTATAGTCTGAACCACTGCAATACATTCCTGTAGATCTCCCTGTGCTAGCTTCTTTTCTTCCACCTCAGTTGCCAGAGGGACTTTGCTAACACGTGAATCCTGAATCCTGCCTTGTCACACATAGCTTAAAATCTTTTACTGGCTCCCTGGGAGGTGTAGAGCAAAGTCCAGGCTTTATCTTGGCCATTCAAGAACCTTTATGAGTTGTTCTCTGCTGGCCTCTCCTGGCTCAATCTCTCTGCATCCTCCTCCTATACCCCAAGCTCAGCCCCACCCAATGACCTGCTCTTTCCTCTGACTACCACGCCTTTTTCCTCCTTGTTGTCTGCCTGGGAAAACTCTTATTCATCCTTCAAGTCTTAAGCTGTTGTTGTTGTTATTATGTGCCATCGAGTATTATAGCGACCCCTCCTTGGGTTTCCAGGACAGTATCACTAGGGAAGTAGATTGCCCCATCTTCCTTCTGAGGAGTGGCTGGTGGGTTTGAACTGCCAGCCTTCTGGTTAGCAGTCAAGTGCCTTAGGCGCTATGCTACCAGAGCTCCCTCAAGTCTTAAGCATCACCTCTTAAATGAAGCTATCCCTGAGCTGTCTGTATAGGACAGGGCACCACAAGCTACAGAAACACTAAAGCAAAGCACTCCAGAGCTCCGGCTTTGGAGTAGGACCGTCTTGTTATGGCTCTACAGTTTACCAGCTATGTACTCAGACAAGGCACTTAAGCTTTGGAGCCTTAGTTTCCTCCTGTGTAAAATGAAGACGTTTCACTTATCACATAAGGTTATAGTGTGGATTAAATGAAATGGTGTGTGCGAAGTTCTTAGAACAATGTCTGCTGTTGTTGTTGTTATGTGCCATTGAGTCGGACCCGACCCATAACGACCCCTCCTTGGATTTCCGAGGCGGTATCACTATAGAAGTAGATTGCCCAACCTTCCTTCTGAGGAGTGGCTGGTGGGTTTGAACCACCAGCCTTCTGGTTAGCAGTCAAGTGCCTTAGACACTATGCTACCAGAGCCCCTCAAGAACAATGTCTAGCACATAGTAAATCAACAACGAATGTTAGCTAAGTTAGGAGCCCTTTTGTACAGAAGGAGGAGACATTTTCTGAGTTTCTCCTTTGTGCTGGGCACTTTCACATGTGTTATTCATTTAATTCTCACAATCCCCTGAGGAAGATAGTCTTTTCTTATAGAAGTCTGTAAAAACAAAGGTTCAGAGAGGGAGGTGGCTTACCTAGTCACACAGCTATAGGCCAACAGAGATGGGTTTCAAACTTAACGGTCTGTGTAGCTTCAAAGCCCATGCTCTTTGCTATTATTACTATTATTATCCCTCTTACAACTACTAATAATAACCATAAAATAATAATAATAAACTTTATAATTATTTTAAGATATGGGGATAAATTTCTCCCTGCTTGTAGAACAGATTGTATACTCCTTAACCAGGCATTCGAGGCTCTATAATTTAGTTATCTGGGATGAGAGGGGAAGGGAGGGAAAATTAGTAGATAGGTAAGAGATAAGTATGGATTTGGGTGAACTGAAAGGTAATATACTAAAAGCAGGTGACCAAAATAATAACACTAAGGAAAATGAAGATGTGGAGAGGTCACAAGAAGTACAGACAACAAAGGTATATACTTTTACATACACGATACAGCATTATCCACAATAACAAACATTAATCTATGGGTAGATATATAGGTACACACTGCTGTCAAGTTGGACCCAATTCATAGCGACCCCTCCTTTGGTTTCCAAGGCAATATCACTACGGAAGTAGATTGCCCAACCTTCCTTCCGAGGAGTGGCTGGTGGGTTTGAACTGCCAGCCTTCTGGTTAGCAGTCAAACAAAATGATCAGGTATGGGTAGGCAAAAGGGAATATTCCCAGGATCACATATAAATTTGGCAGATGATGCTTCTACATATATATTTGTATGTGTTATAAGAATGTCCTTAAATATAATAGAGCTAACAGGGGACAAAATTATGATAACTTCCTAGCCATAGCCAACACCTTAAGGGAGTGATTCACCAGGACCATGGGCTCAGGACCATGGTTGCAAGGGACATCAAGCTCAATTGGCATAACATGCTTCACAAAAATGTTGTTCTACATCCTATTTTGGTAAGTAGCGACTGGGGTCTTAAAAACTTGCAAGCAGCCATCTAAGGCACAAGAATTGGTGTCTCCCTGTCTGAAGCAAAGAAGAGTGAAGAAACTCAAAGATGCATGGAAACAATTAGTCCAAAGGACTAGTGGACCATGGAAACCTCAGTCTACATGACCCTGAGACCAAAAGAACTAGATGGTGCCCCACTACCACTGTCAACCACTCCAGAAGGGATCAGAATAGGAGATCCAGGAGAAAAATCTGGAACAAAACTAAAAATCATTTAAATAAATAAATAAATAAAAGACTAGGCTTACTGGTCTGAAAGAGATTGGTGAAATCTCCAAGACTATGTCTCCTAGTCACCATCTAAGCCTGGAATTGAACTCACTCCCAGGCTTCCAGCCAAACAACAGACAGGCCTACAAAGTGAAAAATTAAGCCAGATAGGTGTACTCCTTAGAACAATCCATCACGGGAGATCAGAAGAGCAGCACTTGCACAAGAATATAGCTCAGAGGGCAGAAGTGCATAGGAAAGAAGGACACAGGGAAGATGTAACCACAGGAAGGAAGTGAGAAGGGAGCTGTTACATTGTGGGGACTGTAACCTATGTCATGGAACAAAATGTATATGAACTGTTGAATGGAAAATGAATTTTCTCTGTAAACTTTCACACAAAGCACAATAATTAATTTCTACTTTTTTCCCCCCTACACCCCATATCTGCATCTAAAGTCCCCAGAGGCTCTTTGGTAAAACAAGTTGAAGCTCCAGGAGGTTCTATAGTCAGACTTTGATAGAAGGCAATTTCCACCCCTATTCCTGCAGAGACAAGATCTTAGCTGGAAAGGAAATAGGGTATGTGTTAGATAAACACCTAAGCCACAGCACTTGGTGGCTGGAATTTGCATGCTCTGTGGCTGATTTTCTTGTACAAACTCTCCTTTACCTGTCTAGGTTATCTCCAGATCTAAACAAATTCTGCTCTAGAAGCCATTAATTTCTCACTGCTTAGCCAAAGCTAGACTATTTTCTCAGCTGCAGTTTGGAAAGGGGGAGGGGTAGTCAGAGCAAGGTTCAAGCGTAGGAAAGCCCACCTGGCAGTCTTCCCTTGGTTTTAGCTGTTGTTGGCAGAGAGAGGGAAGATGAACCTCTAGAGCTGCTGACCCTGCCAACTTGTAAGAGATATCTGCACCAGAATCACAAACCAGAGCCAGCGGGCAAAGAGGTCCTGCTGGGGAAAAAAACTCAGGTCCAGAAACTGGTAAAGAGCAAACACTGTAGTTGGCTATTGGCTTGGGGCACTGTGTCCTCATGCCAGCAGCTTTGAGAGGGCATAATAACCATGAAGTTGAGTCCAAAGCGTGGAAAGTCAACGAGTGGATAGTTCAGTGCCCAGTCATATCCCCAAGGGATCCTGGGGTCTTACCTACCTGGACAGGCCCTGGCAACTTCCTGGAGGAACATCCTGGTATGTGAGCCAAAGGGTAGCTGGAATACAAGGCTGAGCTCTGAGGTATCCAGCTGGACGGTCACATCTGACCCTGCACAGAGGAGACAGAAAATGAGTCCTTGGCTGCCAGGAGCTATAAGTGCTTAGATTCACCTTAAGGCTGGAATTCCTAGAATGGAGAATTAGCAGTCCAGGCTTCCAAAGCACCTTTAACCCTTAAGCAACTCACTCAGGGCTACTGCTGGGGCAATAAGGGAACCTTCTATATCTTCAGCTCCAAATTAATATCAGCTCCACTTTATAAATGGGGTGAACCAAAGTTCTGAGAAGCCTCACTCCAACAGTACTAGACGGAGCTGGAAAGAACATGTTCTCTTGATGTGTGTCTATTCCCTGCCCAGTGGAACAAAAGGCATTTAAGAGGCAGACAAGAGAACTATGCATCAGTCAGTATACCCTGGGTATGCCAGGGTCTCTGCTGGGCACTGGGAATACCATGGTGTTGGGAATAGACATGGGCCTGTCTTCGGGGAGCTAAACTGTGGAAAATCAAAAACCAAACTCACTGCCATCGAATTGATTCCACTCACAGAGACCTACTTTGGGTTTCCGAGGCAGTAAATCTTTACAGAAGTTGATTGTCCAGTCTTCCTTCCGGGTTGTGGAAGGCTCCCGTTAATAATAGTCCATGCTTACTACTTGGTATGTGGTTGGCACTCAAAATCAAGTCCCAGAATAATGAATTAGCAGAGTGACTAGGCTTCTAACCTCCTAAACTGTGAGGAAAATAAATTTCTGTTTGTTAAAGCCCCTCACTTGGGCTATCTTTGTTGTAGCAGCACTAGATAACTAAAACACACCACTTACTAAATTGCTTAATTCTCCTGAGCCTCAGTTACAAACTGGGGATGAAAACAGTGATAATGTCATAGAGTTGTGAGGAAAGCACAGTAAATGTGTAAAGTGTTTAGCATAGTGCCTGGCCCAGAGTAATTACAGATTAAATATTCACTTCTATTGTAGGAGCTCTGGTGGTGTAGTGCCTAAGGCATTTGACTGCTAACCAGAAGGCTGGCGGTTCAAACCCACCAGCCAGTCCTCGGAAGGAAGATGAGGCAATCTACTTCCATAGAGATATCGCCTCGGAAACCCAAGGAGGGGTCACTATGAGTCTAATCCACTCGACAGCAGTGAGTATCATTTTTATTATTGGAGTCTAGCAAAGAAGATAGACATTAAATAAATTATTACAAATGATTAAGTAACTTTGAGTGACTGAGAGCTGCCAAGGATGAGAAACAGGAAGGTGTATCAATGAGATACAGAATCAGCCAAGGCTTCCTGGGAAAAATAAGATGTGAAGGAAGAGTAGGAGTTGGCTCAGGAAATGAGGTCTGAGGGCTTTCAGGAAGAGGGAGAAGCTTGCAAGGTGGGAATGTGTCATATGGGAACATACCGAGCAATCCAGAGTATCTTGAGTGCAATAAGCAAGGAGAGTGGTTAGAGAGGAGGTGGGGGGTGGACAAGGACCAGACCCCACAGATCTTACTTGGCACAGTAATGATCTCAGGGGGCACTCTTACTTCACATCATTCATCACTCTCTGCAGGTTCTATACCCCCTGCCCCAGCTGGAACCCGGACTGAGAGCACCACTCACCAAGGATGTAGAGTTCACCATCTGGAGACACTGTGGGTAGGGAGGTGAGAGATGAATACCAAAGCCCCATCCTTGCTCCCAATACACCCCCCCCCAATGAAGTAGAGGTGACCTAAGGGTCCAGGGGTTTGGAATTCCTACCACCCAGCCCCCTGTGGCACCTTCTTCCAGTGAAAAATCCCTTGAGACCGGCACAATCTGGTCCAAAGAAACATCGTCCCCAGTAATGGCCATCCTCCGGTGCGTGTACAGGAAGAGGCTAAAGGCAGGAAGCAGATGTGAGGGGAGGGGCTGCTGATTGTCCCATAGGCCCATTCTGCAGGCTCAAGGTGGTTACACTCCCTCCTAGAGCCTTTGGACTGTGCTCATGGGCCCTGAGGAAGCATACCTCCTTGCACCATCTCTTTCCCCAATGCCCACCATGGACTCCAGCTTTATAGATGAGGACATCAAAGCTAAACTTCTTTCATTTGGGGGAGCTCCTGCTTTGTTAGTAAGACGTGCGAGATCCATACATTGCACATTCTAGCACTGTGTATGAGAGAGATGGTGTAATCTCAGCCACCCACTTCCCCTCCTAGGACTTCAGTTTCTCCATGTGTAAAATGAGGATTGCTGTTTGTTGTTATGTGCCGTCGAGTCGGACCCGACTCATAGCGACCCCTCCTTGGGTTTCCAAGGCAGTGTCACTACGGAAGTAGATTGCCCCATTTTCCTTCCGAGGAGTGGCTGGTGGGTTTGAACTGCCAGCCTTCTGGTTAGCAGTCAAGTGCCTTAGGCACTATGCTACCAGAGCTCCTTAAAATGAGAATGGTGGATTAAAAAAACATCGAAGTCCCCCTCCTTCCCAGCTTTGAGACCCTGAGGTTCATTGATAAGCTATGAAACCTTAGACTCTCTTAGTTGCTTACTCTCTCTCTCCCTCTTTCTCTCTGCTTCTGTGTAATACCTGGATGCTACTGGCATTTAGCATTTGCTCAATTGAGTACTAATCCCTGGGTGCCACAAGTGGTTTGCGCCCAACTACTAACCTAAAAGTTGTGATTTGAACCCAACCAGGAGTCAGGGGAAGAAACACCTGGCAATCTGTTTCTGTGAAGATTACAGCCAAGAAAACCCTTCTGGAGCAGTTCTCCTCTGTAACACATGGGGTTGCCATGAGTCAGAATTGACTCAGCAGCAGCAAGCTTGTTTGGTTGGTTCGTTGGTTTTGGGGGGTACCTCCTAATGTTTTAAAAACTTTACAGGTACTGACTCACTTTAATCTTGACAAATTGATGTACAGAGGAGTAACACAATTTGCTCAAGGTCATGTACTTCTGAAGTAACAAAGGCTGAATTCGAATTCAGGCAGCTGGTTGGAACTCCAACTTCGGAGTAGTATGTTAAACTGTCTCTTCAGGAGCTCCCCCATCAAGTTGTGAAAATTAAATAAGTTAATGCATGTGAATGGCTTAGATAGCACTGGTACAGTGTAAATCTTCAAAGCGTATTAACTATCATTATTTTATTATTATTATTATTATATATTATTATAATTTTTCTAGAAGATTCAGATCCTGCCATAGAGGGATGGCTGAAGTCCAGCTGGAGGATACAGTGCAGGATAACCCCACAGCCCAGAGAGGCAAGGCTCGAACCCCTCACTTACGCGTATTCCTGGCCACCGTGTTCCAGGCGGTGGCGGACAAGCCCCAGGAGGCGACTCTGCCGACTGTCTCCCTCACACAGCATGCCTTGCACCGCCTGCTGCTCAGAGTCAAGGGAAACAGAAACCAGAGGCCAGGGCTTTCCCAACTCTGCCCAGCCCACATTTTTTACCTTCCCCTTGGCCCCACAGATTCACTGTGTGACCTTGGGCAAATCACTTTATCTCTCTGAAACTTCTCTATCAGTGCTTGTGGGGAGAGAAGGGGAAAGTGGATAGGAAGATAACTGAGTATTTAAAGCATCTGGCAGAGTCCAGCACTGGGTAGGTATTTAATGAATACTGATTTCCTTCTCTCTCTGAGCAAGGAGAAATTGCAGATGGACACCAAGGCACGTTCTATTCTGCTTCCCAAGGCCAGAGCAGGCTCCAGGGCTGGCGTTTCAGTTCTGAAAAGGATATGATGATGCAATATTCCCCCTCAGCCAGTGTCTCCTGAACTGCCACAGACTGGTCCATGGTGACCCCTGCTGAAGAGACCCACCCTGAGCAGGGGGTAGATGAGTGCCCCCTTTGGTCAACAAGATACCCAGGAGGTAATGGGGCTGCTTCAAAGGTCTAGGGGCAAGAAGGAGGGGCCTTTGTGGAGGGAGAGGGTAGAGGGGTGGCCTGGGCCTCCTCATCTTCCCTAGGATGGGGACATTTAAAGTTCCTAAGGAGAAGGTCCTGTCTCTTTGGCCCTAGTGGGATGTACAATTTATTGTACTGTCCTTTGTCTGCTAAAGGAGCTCTGGTGGCATAGTGGTTAAAGTATTTGGCTACTAACCAAAGGGTGAGTTGTTGGAACCCACCAGGCGCCCGGCAGGAGAAAGATGAGGCAGTCTGCTTCTGTAAAGTTTACAGCCTTGGAAACCCTATTAGGCAGTTTTACTCTGTCCTAAAGGGTCAATATGAGTCAGAATCATTCAATGGCAGTGCATTTTTGGGTTTTGTTTGGGAGGGGGATCTAGTTGTTCCTGAGTGTGGTTCCTTGTGGGAAGTGGGGTGCTTGGTACCGTTATTGGAGTAGGGAGCCCAGTCCTATTGCTCCGGGAACGGGATTCTGCCTCCTTTTTTTTGGAAGAAGGATAGCTCTGCGGAGTCCCTCTGGGTGGTGGTTTCCACTGGGTTGGGGGATGATATCCTTACTCTCAGGAAGGGAGGGTCCTATCCTATTCCTTTTCCCTTGGAGGTGGGAAAAGTGTCTGGTTGCCCCCACCCCCATCCCAAGCCCGCAGGCCCCATTGCATCAGCCACAGGCCGAGGGTGTCCAGTCCTGAGGGCTGTAGGACAGGGGCCTCAGTTGTCAGCTTGCCTCTTCCCTCTTTCCCAGTCCTGCCCTGGTTCCTCTGCTCAAAACCTGCTCCCAGCCCTCTGCCAATGCCGCCTACCTCCTGAGCTGTCACTGCTGGGCGCGGGATACCTTGGGCCTCAGGCCGGGCCAGTGACTACATTTCCCAACAGCCTCCTCGTCGCACGTTGGTCAGCCAGCCTACAAGTCCCAGCATGTCCATGTCAATCATGGCTGTGTGTGTGGGTATGTGGGTGTGGGGTGTCCCCATACCCATTAACTCCTTAGGTCCTGGGGTATGCTGGGGTCCTTTTTTAGGAAAAGTGTCTCCAATAAATACTGTAACCCCAATTCCTGGACCTCCAAGTCCTGGGACCATAGGTTCCTGCCCAAGACCCTAAAGGAAGATGTTTGTGTTTATGTTTGCCTTCCTAGGAAAAATAACGCATTTTTATTTCTTCCTTAATTCTGTCCTCAGCTCCTCCCACTCTGGGTGGGCCAGATCTGCCCTCTACTGGAACTGTCCTCCACAATAACTGTTCTACTCAGGCGTATAGGAGAACACTGTGAAGAAGCATGTCCTCATTTTTCGGAGAGGTTAAGCAATTTGACCAAGGCCCTGAAGCAAAAGAGTGGCAAAATTGGGACACGACAGAAAGTCTGACTCCAATTCCTGTGCCATCTATACTACCAGACACTGCCGTATTTCCTCCTTTAGCCTCAGTCCCTCCTGCGTCGTCGTGGGGCTGTTAGGAGGGTAACGGTGTCAGTAAACCTTGTGAAGCACGTGACAGTGCTCATATGTAGTACTCTGGCTGTTACTACACAGAGGCTGAGTTCTGCATTCCTCTGGGAGGAGATAGGACACATGGGAGAGGGCTCTCAGCTCTGAAGTCGTCCTGAGGATGGATTGTGTTGTTGTTCAAGCCCTTTTCCCTCATTTACCTGGCCATGTGTCCTTGGCAAGATCTTTTTCCTTTTTGAGCCCCAATTTCCCCATCTAAGATGAGGCAGCTGCTTCAGATGAACCAAAAGGGCCAGCTCAGATAAGGATTTTAGGATAGGTCTCTCTGATCTATTCACATTTCACTGAGCTGTAAATGCTCTGAGGACAGGATTGTGTCTTTTCCTCATCACCCAGCACAGTTTCTGGCACAGAGTTGGCCTATAAAACATGTTTATTAGATTAATTTAATGAATATACTTATTCTTAAACTTTGACCCAAACTGAAGGCCAGTTCTGAGCACTGGGTGATCAGTGAAGCTTCTATCCAGTCCCCCTCCCCTTTCCCTAAGCTAGGAGTTGCCCCCTAATTACCAGTCTGACTTGACCTTGCATAAGTAAACCCTTTCCAGAAACAAATATCCCCTTCTCTCTAACTTTTTCATTTTCCTGGAAACATTCACAGCACAAGTAGATCTCAAGTTTATTTAGATTCAGTTTCAAAATCATCTCAGTGATGACAGGAAAAAGGATTGATACAGTGCTGAAAGATCAGAGGGTTGAGAGTCACTGAATAAAGTAGGGGACACCCACCTCACATCCATGCTTAGTATCTCCTATAGATTGAATTATGTCCTTCAAAAATATATGTTGTAAATCCTAACCCTTATGCTTTGGTACCACACTTTATGTTGTTGTTGTTAGGTGTCATCGAGTTGGTTCTGACTCATAGCAAGACCCTATGCACAGCACAATGAAACATTGCCCAGTCCTGTACCATTTCCACAATAGTTGCTATTTTTGAACCCACAGTTGCTGTCACTGTGTCAATGCAACTCTTGAGGTTTTTTCTCTTTTTTGTTGACCCTCTATTTTACTAAGCATGATGACCTTCTCCAGGCACTGGTCCCTTCTGATAACTTGTCCAGAATATGTGAGTCGAAGTCCCACCATCCTTCTTTCTAAGGAGCATTCTGTCTGTTCCCCTTCCAAAACATTTGTTTTTCCTTCTGGCAGTCCATGGTATATTTAGTATTCTTCACCAACATCATAGTTCAAAGATCAATTCTTTTTCAGTCTTTCTTATTCATTGTCCAGTTTTTACATGCAAATGAGGTGATGGAAAATACCGTGGCTTGGATCAGATGTACGTTAGCCCTCAAAGTGACTTCTTTACTTTTTAACACTTTAAAGAGGTCTTTTACAGATTTTCCCAATGCAATAAATTATCTGATTTTTTGACTGCTGCTTCCATGGCCATTAATCCAATATAAAATGAATCCTTCACAACTTCAATAGTCATTGTCAAAAAAAACATTTCAAGATCTATCTTTCAGTACAATATTGTCAGTGATAGGATAATGTCCATATGCCTACAAGGAAGATCAATTAATACAACTATTATTCACATTTACGTACCAACCACTAATGCCACAGGTGAAGAAATTGAAGATTTTTACCAACTTCTCCAGTCTGAAATTGATCAAACATGCAATTAAGATATACTGATTATAACTGGTGATTGGAATGTGAAAATTGGAAATAAAGATGAAGGATCACTAGTTGGAAAATATAGCTGTCTTAGTAATCTGCTGCTATCACAGAAATACCAGAAATGGGTGGCTTTAACAAACAGACATTTATTTTCTCACAATTCGGGAACCTAGAAGTCCAAATTCAGGGTGCTGGCTCCAGGAGAAGACATTGTATCTTTATTGGCTCTGGAGAAAGGTCTTTGTCCCTTCAGCTTTTGCCTCCTGGTTCCTTGGAGATCTCCATGTGTCTTAGGATCTATTTTATCCCCTTTCACCTCTGCTAGCTTGTTTAATCTCTTTTATTATCTCAAATGAGATAGACTTAAGACACACCGAACACTAACTCAGTTTTTAATTTTGTTACCATTTTTCCACATAAGTTCATGCAGATTTTTGATAACTTTATTGAAGTATAATTTACATGCCATAAATTCACTCATTTTAAGTGTACAATTCAATTATTTCTAGTAAATTAATCATTGTGCAACTACTACAATTTTATATTTCCATCACCCCAAAAAGATGCTTTGAGTCCATCTGCAGGCACTTCAAATCTCATCTCCAACCCCAGGGAACTATTCATCTAACTTCTATCTCCTTTCTGAGCATTTCATATAAATGGAATCATACACTCTGTCCCTTTAGTCTTTTTTTTAGTTTTTTTTTAACTTAACATGATGTTTTCAAGATTCATCCATATTATGGCACTGTTTATGCCACATTTGGTTAATATATTCACAGTTTAGGTTGTGTCTTTTTTTTTTTTTTGGCAATTATGAATAATGCTACTATGAATGGATGCCCATATAAACATATGGGTGTAGGTTTTCATTTCTCCACCTAGATGTGAACTTACAAATTTTCTCACCCCACATAGCATTTCAATGCTTGGATGTGCTGTATTTTATTTATCTAGTCCCCTGTGAGTGAGGATGACTTAAGGCACCTACTGATGAAGGTTGAAGAATACAGTCTGCAGTATGGATTACATCTCAACATGAACAAAAATCCTCACAACTGGACCAATGAGCAGCATCACAATAAATGGAGAGAAGATTGAGGTTGTAAAGGAATTCACGTTGCTTGGTTCTACAATCGATGCCAACGGAAGCAGCAGTCAGGACATTAGACGACGTGTAGCATTGGGAAAGTCAACTGCGAAGGAACTGTTTCAAGTGCTGAGGAGCAAGGATATCTCATTGAGGACTAAGGTGCGCCTGACACAAGCCATGATATTTCCAATCGCCTTGTATGCATGTGAGAGCTGGACAATGAATAAGGAAGACCGAAGAAGAGTTGATGCTTTTGAGTTGTGGTGCTGGCGAAGAATGCTGAAAGTACCGTGGACTGCTAAAAGAACGAACAGATCTGTCCTGGAGGAAGTGCAGCCAGAATGCTCCTTGGAAGCAAGAATGGCCAGACTTCGTCTCACCTATTTTGGTCATGTTGTAAGAAGGGACCATTCCCTGGAGAAGGATGTCATGCTTGGTAGGGTGGAGGGTCGTCGAAAGAGGGGGAGGCCTTCAAGGAGATGGATTGATACGGTGGCTGCGATGATGGGCTCAAGTATAGCAGGGATTGTGGGGCTGGCGCGGGATCGGGCAGTGTTTCGTTCTGCTGTGCATGGGGTCGCTATGAGTCGGAAAAGACTCGACGGCACTTAACAACAACAACAAAAACAGTCCCCTGCTGATACATAATTAGGCTGTGACTTTCTAAGAGGGGAAAAAAAAAAAGAAACATAACTAGTATCATCCCTATTTTACTGGCAAGGGCGCTGAGGTCCAGAAAATAAAACATTGTCAGAGTTCACTCTGAAAGCTCCAGACTCCAGTTCTGGTTCCTCAATGCTGTGCTGTTCAACTGCCCCTCAATCCAGTCAGTCTCCCCGCTGGCTCAGCAGTTTAATTCAGGTTCCTGGATTCCATAGGAGTCCTGGTGATTAAAGAGCGCTTGTCTGCCCACTGAAAGGTCGTAGGCTAGAACCCACAAGCCCCTCAGCGGGGCAAAGATGTGGTAGTGGGCTTCCGTGAAGATTTACAGCCTTGAAAACCCTTTGGAGCCATTGTCCTCTGTCATAGAACCCACTGCCATCGAGTAGATTCCAACTCATAATGCTCCTACAGGGTACAGTACAACTAGTTTCCAAGGCTATAAATCCTTACGAAGCAGACTACCTAATCTTTCTTCCGCTGAGCGGCTAGTGGGTTGGAACCTCTGACCTTTTGGTTAGCAGCCGAATGCGTTAAGCACAACGCCGCCAGAGCTCCCATTCTATAGTCTCAAAATCCAAACCAAACCTTCTGTCATCAAGTCGATTCCGATCCTCTACAGGGTTTCCAAGATCTTTATGGAAGCGGACTGCCTCATCTCTAACCCGCGGAGCGGCCGGTGGGTTGGAGCCACCGAACTTTTGATTAGCAGCCCAAAGTCTTAACCACTGCACCACCAACTGCTCCCAACGAGAAAGATGAGGCAATCTGCTTCCATAAACATTTATAGCCTTGGAAACCCTGTGGGGGTCGGCTTTAAGTCGGAATCTACACAAAGGTCGTGGGTTTGGATTTGGATTTGGATTTCCATCGCCCCCTAGAGGCATGTGCAAACCGCTCGGTATAGCTTCACTACACCTCCACCAACAGGAGGCAATGCTGCCATCGCAACAGCCGACTGGATCTCCTCGCGGTGCCACTTTTCCTTGAGTCCCCAAGGTACTTCCGGCACTCACGGAAGTTGTGTGCAGCCGGACGGGCAACGCGGGGAAACAGGCGCGCTAGGCGGCAGGAGTTACTTCTGGCCCCGTTGGTGTTCTGGATTGAGGTATCGCGGGGAAGGGAAGATGGAGACAATTCTGGAACAGCAGCGGCGATATCATGAGGAGAAGGAACGGCTCATGGACGTCATGGCGAAGGAGATGCTTACTAAGAAGTCCACAGTGAGTAGAGCCTGCGCAAAGGTTACTTCTGAGTCTGGGCCCCTAGCCCCGCGTTTAACCGCTGAGCGCTTTCTTTGGCCTCAGACCTGTCCCGCTCTCTGCCCTCGGGGCGGGGATCCCTCTCGAAGCTCCAGCTTTGGTAACTTCCCCAGCCCCACGCTCCGCCGCCTGCCCCCGCCCCCGGGGGGGCCCTCCCTCCAAAGCTCTGGTCTTGGTAAGCTTTTTCCCAGGCCCAGCGCCCCAGAGACCTCAGTTTCTGTCGCTGAGACCTCAGAGGATAAGCTCCGCCTTCGGGCGGCTTTCCCAACTCCTGGACTCCGACTAACAGCGTCTATGTCACCGTTTGCCTTTCTTCAGCTACGGGACCAAATCAATTCTGACCACCGTACACGGGCCATGGAAGATGTGAGTGCTGTGCTGTCTTTCGGGTTGGGTAGGCGGAAAAAGAAGATAGGCAGGCAGAGTACTGTGTCTCACCACGGGCCTTGGCCAAAGTTAATCTGATTGGCGAGGTTTGTTTGCCTTGAACAGAAACTGAATGTACTGAGCAACTCTTTCACGCTTTCTTCGTTACTCAGAAAGATGCCTTTTCTCATAGCTTTCTATATCCCTTAAATGTGCAGAGAAGAGTTACAACGACTCAGTGAGTCAGGCACAGAAGGTACTATCCCGTTCCCCCAATGAGAAGAATACTGTATATTAGTGTTTCCCTTCGAGACCATTGTTTTGAAGTATTTTTGTCTACCAAACTGCCTTTGCCAAATAATAATTCATTTTCTTCTTTTATTTATTTATTAATTTTATTTTGATTTGGGTGAAGATTTACAGAGTAAATTCACTTTTCATACAGCAGTTCACATAATATACTTT